TAATAATAATAATAATAATAAACATTTATATAGCGCCAATTCAAAAATTTATCAAAGGCGCAGGAGAAAACAAACTCAGTAACATTTCTCAAAAAGGTGAAACTTTAAGTTCTTCTTAAAGGCTCTGTATCAGAAAAGTTTTTCAACACACTGAACAATTCTTTGCTCACTTGGAGGAAGTTTCTGAAGCCTCTTGGGTCTTCTCTATTTAACTCTACTAGTAAGTGTTCATACTGTCTAAAATATGGACGACGTAAGAGCCATGGCTGTACCCATACATTTCGTTTAGGTCTATGCATTCGACGGGACCGACGCTTACTCTTGATTATCAAAGCTGTAGCAGCCAACAAATTTTCTTCTTCTATTTAGCAGCAGCTTGCAAATTATTGATGGTGTTTCAACAGTGCGCTTTTTTGTCAAGGGCATCAACCGACGACAGACCGTAAGTACATCCAAACTGTTGCAAATCAATTTTATTACGAATTTCGTCCAGTAACATTTTGCCAATGATGCTTTCAACCAACTTAAACCCCGACCTTATCGTTACGTCACTGCATACAGATTTCAAGAAAAAAATAATAACAGCATGGTGTCCCTGTGCATTTTTGCATACGTATTTGTGACAGTTTTATGTACCGGTACTTATTAAAACATGGATATAAACCAAAGTTGTCAGTTGTTTCATTTGAAATCAGTTTCAGTATAATCTTAGGAAAGCATGGTTAACATAAGCAAGAATTTAGTCTAATGAAACTGTTTATCATCTTGATACCTTCCGACGAAAATTTACCCTACCGGCGTCACCACGGCGTCCCCACCGATCGATCTAACGTGCCGTTGTTATGTGGGTGTTTTATAGATTATTGAGAATAGTAATATCACCGAAAAAATTAGATAAAAGTTGGATGACCAACAAAGACAACTGAAGACAATAGTTCGTCATTAGATGTTATTTAGTATAATTTTATTCGGAAAATTAATCTCAAAATTGAGTTGCCGTCCCCGGTGGTAGTTTGTTGATTGTTTATTCATAGTTACCAACCTGAGAGATTTGAAATGCGTGAGTGACTATACCAGTTGGCTGGGGTGGGGGGTTCCAAGCGGCAGGGGAACTCCCACCCCGACGATCTGAGCATTTTTAAGCTGTTTTAAAACGATTTCAAGGAGTGTCTGTTGATAATACAAGTACATAGGCAAAAATATTATTAATAAAGCCAATTTGAGTTTCAATGTAGGCCTATGTTTAATTTGAGCACCCGAACTATATGGCGAGCCGAGTTGTCATTTAATCGTAAATAGAGATATCTTAGTTTTAAATAGAGATATCTTAGTTTTTAATAGAGATATCTTAGTTTTAACTAAGATATCTCTATTAATAGAGATATCTTA